CTCCCCCCGCCGACCTGTCGAAGATTCTTCAACGCACGCTTGACCCTGGGTGCGATGCGAGGACCCACTGCGGCTTCACTCCCAAATTATGGAGTCTTGCAGCGCAAACATGATTCCTTCTTTATTTTACGTAAACGATCATTAATAACAGACAACTCTAACTTTATTCTCAAATATAAATATTCATCACATATGTTCCATTATGAAGAAAGAGAAAAATCAATAGAAATTATACATAGATTGACGTGGAACATCGTCAAGCACATATCACGAACCATTGACGAAAGCAAATAATACAGTTCTTATATATTATACCTCTGTCAAAAGAGACATACATACCCTCTCTACCGATCAATCGACTGATCGATTATTATCGATCAGTAAAAATAAAGAATTCTCATGACCAGTTCGATATTGGATCATCTTCTACGAAAGGGAATCGTCAACAAAAACGTTTACAGTAGACAATATTTGGTTCTAGGATTTACGATAAGTGACTTCAAAACATATGAAACACAAACAGAAAAGAACATACTCGTCTCACTAGAAATACAGTTAAAAATGGACAAACTTAAAGGTAAACACTGACATGCCTTAGCCATTTTCATGGCTGGCAACCCTTTTTGAGATTGATCATTAATTGATGGACGAGGAAACTGGAAATAGGTAGACGAAGGCACCATGGTGATTATATGGTGCTCCTTTACACCGGATGACAAATTATGTGTTCAGCATTTAACATCACAATGAACGAAAGAGAAGAGAGAAATTGAGTCGAGAAGAAGAAACGGATAGGATCAATGGAATATTATTTCACAAGGAACTGAGAAGAGGAATATACCGTAATCGAGCTAGAAAGGACGTGCACGAAACTCGAAATTCGCGCGGATGAGCAGTTTCATACGGAATATAAGAGAGGAATCCTTTTAATTTTTTTTTACATTTGCTGGAAACTCCTCAACTTTCGCACACAAAATTTGAATCAGGAAAGAGCGGCAACCCCAAACAGCAGAGTAACAGAAATATTTTGATGGTCGCGTTTTAAAAACAATCACTTCTTAATTCCAGGACGGGACTATGTTATCTTTTACCCTTTCTCTTTTTCGATTGTTTTTTTTTTTCAAAATCGAAAACCGAAACGATATGTCCACGAAACAGATGTAAGCCTACAGCATTCCAGATTCCGACTATAACTCGAAACAAAGTGGTGTTACGCCGGAATTCGGAACAGGTACACTCATTCTTGATTCAAACCTGTACAAAAGCATTTGCCTTGCCATCACTTCATTTGCCCATATTTTCCCTATTTTTGTGAACTTCTAAAAACCCAGAAAAATTAGGGATAAGAAGAACCGAAGAAGAAAAACATAGACCGAAAGAAATGTATGTGAAAAGACAAAATGACTTTTGGTAGGGCACTGCTAGCACATACACAACATTACTCCCGCTTATTACATATCACAAAAACCGAGAACTGAGAAGAGAGAGGGATTCACGGATATCATAACTCTGAAAAACACCTAGTGAAGAGTTGATGAAGAGCTGTTTAAGAATTCAATGAAGAGGAAACCATGGGAACGTCATGAAATGAAATGGATAATGACGTTGTTAAGAAAGAGCAAAATGGATAGGTATCAGAATGGATGGATGAAGATCACAGTCGGTTGCGCTGATGCACGACGATTTAACAAACAATCAGAGCTGTATATATGAGGTTTTCAGAGGTGACCGGAGGTGAAGATACACTAATATACGACTGATAATGACGAAAAAGGAGAACACAGGAAAAACCAGTGACAGTGAAATTACACAAAAACATGCTTTTTCAAAATTTCGACGAACGATAATTCAGGGCTACAAGTAATTATAAACAATATGTTCAGACTTTCCTCAGGAAACGTAACGAACAGAATCCCAGAAGGCAGAAAAGCGAGTTGATCAAGCAGTCAATTCAGGCAACCAATTGCTTATGCTGCTTGTTGGGAATATAGTGCCCATTATGTACGCCTTTCAAACGCATCAACTCCTGACAGGCTGATCGGAACGCACTGTGAATGTGCGTCAAGGAACGAGACGGAGCTACTGACAAACTGCGTTCGAGCATCTGAATTCGTTAGTGATCAGGAGCTCATCATGTCAAGCAAAAAACAGATGAACAAGATTTTTATTTGGCATTTTTTATTCATGACTGTTATGATTCAGCCCCAGTTCACAATCAATTGACTAATTAAAACATACCACTGCGGCGTGTAATGGCCAGCAAAAGCAGAACCGCGAACCTCGAGTTTGAGTCCCCACGCAAGCGGATCATTTCACCCACAACTCAGCACTCTTGATGATTAAATATGTACTACACATTTGAGTATTCGATCCTAGTACTGGTAGGGCATGGATCATATCAAGAGACTTCACGCTTTTTTAACAAAGAATGTCTTATTAACCTCAAATTCATAACCTGACACCCACTACCCATGCATTCTAACTTGCAAAAAATTGAGCCCATGGGATGTGGGCGTTGATAGTGGGTGGCGTAATTGACAGCTGAGAGTTGATAAGAGCTGACGTCACACGCTCGAAAGCAAAAGCCACCAAATTCGTTATTGCGTTCACATTGGCGGTTGGGGGCTTACACTCACAAGAAGTATTGTGCGGGGGGGGGGGACCACTGATGGTGGCCGAGATAATGTAACAACAGATGGCGAAGGGTGGTAAGGATCGTCAGAAATAAATTCATTCAGCCGTTCACGTTGACAAAAAATGCAGCAATAAACGTGAGCTACGTGGAGCATAGGTGGAGATAACAGGGATGAAGGATCATAAGGGGTGTAGGGAGTTACGGACCTCTACGATGATGGTGTATGGTCAGCACCAACAATAATGACGAATTATGATAAAGTGGTAACATGTGGTTATAGGTACAATGGGGCAATTTGATACATTCACGCCAGCGGCAGCCCATATGGCCTGCCAAGGAATTGTGCTCGTAGGACGATGGCAGCTGCCAGCTGATAATCGCTGATAACTGCCAGGCGCTATGAATGGAAAGATAGGTGGTTCAAATCTCGTAACCGAGTTTAGAATG